TATAAAAATGCTCTGTTCGTGTCTACATCCTTCATAGACTCGAAAAGTGCTGAACCGTTTAAGCCCAAATTTTTACACAACATGCGTTGAGGTTCCAGCTCGGTTATTGACTACTTTTGATGTTGATAGCTTATCTGCGGTGGCGAATATATCTATTTTTTTAGCGTTTCCAAGTGCCCCTACTGCTGCGCCATCTACAGGCAGCCAGCTGAATCAAAGCATTTCCTGTCAAACATTCAAAACATATTGAAAGAAGAAACTTGAAAAGTTCTGAACCGTTTATGCCCAAATTTTTAAAGAACATGCGTTGAGGTTCCAGCTCGGTTATTGACTACTTTTAATGTTGATAGCTTATCTGCGGTTGCGTATATATATATTTTTTTAGCGTTTCCCCGTGCCCCTACTACTGCGCCCTCTACAAGCAAATCAAAGCATTTCCTGTCAAACATTAAAAACATATTGAAAGAAGAAATTGGAGATACAAATTTTATTTTTTGTTCAGGTTCAGTAAGAAACGAAGTCATGCCTCCTTCCGAGAGACTGAGCGGCAGAGAGCAATGCAAATGCACATAGAGGAATCAGCAGAAAGACGAGCAGATAGGCTTGAGAGAAAACGATTGAGAGTTAGGCAGTCGCGTTCTGCAGCAGTCGATTTGATTCACTCTCAAAATAATGAACGCGACAGGGCAAGGGTAGCTGAAGCGCGTTTACAGCTTGCAGCAGATCAAAACCTGTAATTTAGTTACATCGGAAGGAAGAACTTATCCAAAAAGTGTTCCCCGATATCCGAATAAATTATAGGAATCACGATTGGCTCAGTGGACGAGCGATTCTCGCTGCCAAGAACAAAGATGTCATGTAATCCAAAAAAGCATAGAAACTGACGAAATTACATATAAGTCGATAGATACCGTTGTGGAGGCAGAGGAAGCAGTTAATTACCCTACCGAATTTCTAAACTCACTTGATCTGCCTGGAATGCCACCACACATATTGAAATTAAAAATAGGTGTGCCGATTATCATGCTCCGTAATATAAATCAGCCGAAACTCTGCAACGGTACGCGACTCGCAGTCAAGAAATTGATGAACAACATAGTAGAAGCAACGATCATAACTGGTCCTTTCAAAGGTGAAGATGTCCTCATTCCTAGGATTCCTATGATCCCGACAGATACACCGTGCCAGTTCAAGAGATTGCAGTTTCCCATTCGATTGGCGTTCGCAATTAATTAATAAAGCTCAAAGACAATCTCTGGAGTTGTGTTGTCTAGATTTGGATGAAGATTGTTTTTCACACGGACAATTATATGTTGCGTGTTCACGAGTCGGAAAACCAAAAAGTCTTTATATTTACGCGGAGAATGGAGAAACAAAGAATATTGTATACCAACAAGTATTACAGAATTAAATTAATTTGAAAATGATTATTTTTTGTTTGACTTATTTCTTATGCGTTCAACCACAATATGCCACAGAGAAACGTGGCAGTCCATTTGGAGAATGGTCAACGTGTCTATTTCACAGAAAAAAATGTGCAAGAAAGAGTCCTGAATCGGCCAGCGACAACTCTGACTGCCTTCTTCACCTTATGCCAGGAAGATGATTTTGCCAGAACCTTGATGTATTCAGAAGTGCCCTCTTAACCATAATATGCCACAGAGAAACGTGGCAGGGTACAGCTAGTATTTAAATATATTTCTTTAGTCTTTATCAGACAATAAATAGTTTTAGACATTATTTATAAAATATATATAAATATACAGCAAGCTAAGAAATATAAATAATAATTTTCCACGGTGCCTCACAAAGATGTTTTGATTGAAAATGCCAGCTAGTCAGACCAAAACCCGCACACACACCGCCCACACACCCCACTCACACACACACACACACATTCTGCAGAGTCTCTCTCAGTTTAGCATAAATTTGTAAGCTTGTAAAGCCGTCATTTTGTAATCCAGAATTCTGATGTTTGCAGAGGAAGCCCAAGGTGGTGGTGGTGGCCACGCCCACATCGGATCTGCTACGATTCGGGGCCTTCGAGTAGAGCTGGACATGGCGTATACTATATATATTCAGGCAACTATTATGTATTTTAATCAAACCCTAATGGAATGCGTATATATATTGCTAATATTGCTATTGCTGCTGCTGCTGCTGCCATAATCGCTGCTAATTGCATCAATTATTGGCCAAGCTAAACGATTTATGGGAACGAAAGCCGAAATTGAAATAGAAAACAAAATGCTTTAACCGATTAATCAAACTGATTTCATTCCATTCCGCTAAGCAGAGCCAATACTTTCCGAACTTTTGTATAGTATATACCGAAGGAGAGTCGATAATGGCTCATTTCTGGGGCAGGACATCAAAATGTAATTTACCACGAATGTTGGGCAAACATCAATTATCCCTAATTGACTGTGAACGTGAAATTAACGTTTATAATTATGTGACACAGTCGCTGAGGCGGAAGTCCGAGTTCGAGCTGCCTTGTGTTCGCCGCCATGTAACTTTTAATGTCCTTGCCCAGGATAGGGTACCAGCCCCCGAGAAGCTTAGCCTCTGGGAAACTTTGGGTGCCGTCCCAAGTCCAAGGGTCCCACGACCCGGGTGAGGTTTATTGAGTGCCGGGTAATAAATTACCAAACAAAAAAATACAAAAATAAGAAAAGGAGGCGTCACCGCGACAACTTGCCATTTTCGTGCGCGAAAAAACACCAAACATTCGCAGGTTTCATTGACCTTTACGCTGCTCAATCTAGGTGACAAGCCCCGTGGGCCAACTTCTGACTCATGATAACCAAAAAAACCAAAAAAAAAAGAAAATACAACAGGAAAACTCATCCTTAAACACGCAAAAAAGTGCTCTTAAGACCAGGAAATTCGTTGCCCATTCAAGAGGAAAATTTGTCAAATTGAAGAGTAAATTACTTTAAAAGTGCAAAGTCTTGATTACAAGTTTTTGATTGTCATTGTTTTAGGTCAAATATATTTTTGGTTTTCTCTTGTTGGCCAGTCATGTTTTTATACTCAATCAACTTAATCATGTTTTTATAATTGTATTTTATAAATACAAGTTTTAATTGACTTTAAATTTGGTTAAAAAGAGTAGCTCTATACTTATACTTGATAAACTTGATTCATATAGTTCACACAATTTTTTGTAAGTAGCTATATAAAATTTTAAAGAAATTAAATTATGAATATTGAATTTTACTTTCTAAATAGTAAATAATAATAGTTAAAGGTTAACAGATGGACTGTGGTGTTTATCGAAAAGTTTCTTATGATTATTTGCTGCGATAACAACCTGAAAGCGGTCGGAAAACCCACACAAACTTGGCCTGCTGTTATTTTTTGGGAATCCTGGGGGGCTATAAAAATTGCAAATTACCCAATTTCCTGGGGCGTCTGCTAAGCGGGCCATCCGGTCTGGCTCTTCAATTATTTAAGCTAATTGCGGACGCACTCGCACTCGAACCAGCTCCAGCGACCACACGGCGTATACGCAATGTAAATTGTACGCAAATGGGCGAGGATTTTAGAATTTTATACGAGGCTTCTTCAAGGAGGCGTCGCCTTCTGTGTCCTGTAAGCCTGTAATTGAATTGGCCAGCCAGTCAGGAGAAGAAGACGATGATGGGGTCCTTAGGGGTTGGCCAAATCGGGTTATAAAGAGGAGCCCATGGCAGGAGTCTTGCATTCTGCAAGGATTTTCCAGGAGAAAGGACTTGGATATTAAAGCACACGAAAACGAACACACACTTGCACTCATAGCACAGAAAATATTTACACAAAATAAAAGTCAATTTGATCTTTTTGAATATGAATATAAAGTGTTTACAAGTTTAATGAAGAAATATATACCTTTTATAGAAATCTTTTTTGTATTTCTCAACTATATAAAAAATTGGGAACTTACTATAATTTAATATTAGAATATGAAATAGATATAAATATTTAAAGAGATCAAATTAGTCACTCTTAATATTTTAGTTTAATGTTTGTTGTTACTTGTTATTATTTTTGCTTTTAAGGAGAAAACTATACCCTCAAAAGGCACCCAAAAGAATGTGTGTTGAAAAACCTGAAATTGGAAATTCAGCTACCGCTTTTCCTTAGCCCGTTTTCCAGCTTCACTCTTTTTTATGTTGTTGTTTTGGCTGTGTTTGTTACTCTTTATCTATCTATCCTTGTTTTTGTTGTTTTCAATCATGCATTTTGCTTTGACTTTTACTGCAGCCCGGAAAAGTGGAAAATGATACAAAAAGTAGTGAAGAAATGCCGGGGGGGAGGGAAAATGGCTGGAAAATCATGAGGAAATCTGTGCTAGCAAAGCCGCAACAGTTCTCGCTTTCTCTCTGTTTCTCTTTGTGGCTCTTGCTATTCTTGTTGTTGTTTATGTTGTTGTCCCCACCCACAACATTTTCCGCCCCTCAATTTTTCGACCTTGTTGTTCTTGTTGTTGTTCATGTTGATGTTATTGTTGCTCTGGCTGTTTTTTTTCTCGCTGTTTCTTGTTGTTCTTGTTGCTTTTGATTGCCGGCTGGCTGCTGCGTTGAAACGGCAACACATACACTCTTACACTTTCCCCCAATAAAACACGGAAAAGCCCAAAGAAAACACCCAGAAAATACCCGAAAAACACTGCCTGCAAATTGTATGCAAACACTTGAAAAAGAAATAAGACAACAAAATGTTAATTAAATGCTTTTCCCTTGCCTCTCCACTCTCTCTTGGTTCTTTTTCTATGTCTCTTTTATAACTATTGTTCCTTTATATCTTTTTGGTTATTTTTTGGTTCATTGACTATTGATGTTCCCTTTGATTTTAATTCTAAATTGTATATTTAATTTTTGAACCTAAAATTCCTTTATTTTATTCGATATATTTTTCAACATAATTATCTTTATTACTTTTATTTTCCCTCCTAATTTCCTTTATCCCCCCTGTTTCTCTCTGCTCTTCTCTTCCTCTGCTCAAAAAAAAAACAGTGCCACGTGGCTGCTGCCATGGTGGCGGCGTCCACGTCCTTTGGCTACCACTCGGTGAATCAGCTGGACAGGACACTCATGTGACGACAGCTGAGCAGTTGCAGCACCTGCAGCGGCGGCAGCAACTGCGGCGGATCCCGGACCGCCCACCACCAGCACCACTCCTCGGGCACGGCCACGCCCTCGTCCTCGCAGCGATCCTGCACGCGCTGCCAGAGCTTCCATCGGCACCACCACCGCTCCCGGCGCCGCAGCTCCGGGATGCAATTGCGAGGTGACTTCAGCTCCACGTCGGCGGTAAATAGTGCGGTGGCCAAGACGATAGTCACCATAACGGCGCCGCCTGTGGCCGCCGCCTCGGCCAGCTCCCTGCATCTGGGCGCCGGTGGACGACCCTCATCGGTGTCCACTCTGACCATTGCCTCCGTGCCGCCGAATATAAGTGGATCGGGCGGATCGGTGAGCGGCGCCAATACCCCTCTGGCACCAAGCTTAAAGGCCCTCACTCCGGGACCCACCTCCTCCGGCAACTCCTCGGGCCACCATGTCTCCTTTATGCCCATGACGGGCATGAAGCGTCTGCGCAGTTCCAACACCTCCCTCGTCTCGCCCACGGGAAATGTGGCCGGAGCCGGAGCGGACACCACCTCGGCGCCTTCCCTCATCGATGCCGGGGAAGAGCCGCTGCAGCATAGGAATCACCACCACAGGATCCTCGAGCAGTGCCAGAGTGTCCAGAGTCAGATCACCACTCTGGGCGATGTGGAGGACGATGACGAGGCCACCGACAGCGAGAGCGAGAGCATCGGACTGGCCTTGGTGGAGACCACGCCGCAGCTGGAGAGCCAGCCGGTGGAGGCCAGCAGCTCCTCCAGCTCCTCGGTTAAGTAAGCTCGGCAGAAATCTAGTCTTGGAAGAGTGTAGGTTTTAAGATTCAACTAAGTTCTTAGGTGTGATTCCCAGAGAAAGTTCTGTGTTTGGTTTGAGGAGAAGTCTCAAAGAAGGAAAGGAGTGAGCATTGGACAATTTTAGGCAATTTGTTTTTGAAATTTACCTAAAATATACTAAATATTATTTCTTAACATGAAAGGAAACTAAATAAGGGAAGCCGAAATTATATCTTGCAATTTGAAATTGAATTTTTCAATATTTGCATTCTTTGATTTGATATTTATAATTGATTATTAATATATGTTTGTAACATATAATAACCAATCAATCAAAGTTTCAAAATCTCATAATTAAGCCAAAAATGCATTAATTAAATTAATTAATTTAATTTTAATTCGGAAATCACTCCTATGTTAGTTTTTTGTAGTTTTATAAATCTGCATACTCAATTTCAAATGTAAAAAAATCGAAATTTATATCAATTTTTGACCATCGATGATAAAATTTTAAAAAAAAAATTTCGAAAATTTATTTTTTATCCGAACGTGCCTATGTTGGATCGACTCAGCTTTTGATATATATGATTTATATATGATTTATAGGGTCGGAAATGACTCCTGGCAGCGTTACAAGCTTCTGACATCAAGTATAATGCCATTCTTAAAGCTGATATTTATCTATATTTTATATGAAAATTTGTTCTACAAATCAAAATTTAAAAATCTCACAACTAATTCAAAAATGCATTAATTCTCATTCGGAAAGCTGTTCTATGTTAGTTTTTAGTAGTTTAACAAATATGCATACTCTATTTAAAATTTTAAATAACTTGAAATTTTGGCAATTTTTAAAAGTTTTACAAATGTAAAATTAATGATGATAAAAATGTGAAAAAATTTGTACATTTTTTTTTCTACCAAAGATGGCTAGATCGACTCGGCTGTTGATGCTGATCAAGAATATATATGATTTATAGGGTCGGAAATGGCTCCTTCACTTCGTTTCAAGCTTTTGACTAAATATAGAATCCCCTGCAAGGGTAAACAAATAAGGAACACAATCTCCCAAATTTGTTTTTAAAAATTCTAGAAACAAACGTTTAGTTATTTATTTAATTGCCTGAATGCTTGAGATTCTTAAAAATTTCTTAACAAAACAAATGCTTTAAAATTGTCCAAGGCTAACTTTTTTCCTTAAAAAAAGCCCCCACATAGCGCCCCCTCAGTGTGTAAATATAAATCAAGTCAGTCATTATATATCGGTGATAGAGACACTATGCAACATGTATCTGCAAACCGCTCTCTGGGTTTCAGCATAGTGTCGGACATAGTGTTAGCTGTTAGTTGTCATATCTTAGATCTTCCATTAAGTAGATCCGATCTGTAAATGTCTCAACGTCTAGCTGCTATGTTATTTGAGTATTGAAAGCTACGTCTTCAACCTGTCCAAGTACCTGACTCTCGAATCCAAGTACTCTCTCTTTGTGTATATAATATATATAGCTTGAACTCTATCTGGAGAGCCCTGAATATAAACCGAAACTGCTACGGGTGCAATATGAATTTATAGCGACTCTAAAGGAACTCGAACACAATCAGCAAACAGGCTTCAGAACCAGTTACCAGTTGTTGCCCATCTTCTGTTCCGTTCTCTGAACTTAAACTTACTTAAATATAGCAATAGTTCGCATATAGAGTGAATGTTAAATGTGCTTCGGTCGGGGGCAGGAGCCCAATGCATTAATCCTTCAAAGGGTTCCCCTCATCTAGGAGTACTCAGGATGGGTTCTGCAATAATTAATGTGTGCAATTAGGATTGATTTTCCCACTGGGGCGGAGGGTATCAAATAAAGGATAAACCAAGACAATGGCGAGACGCTATTCTGCGTAGGAGTAGGAACAAATCATAGCGAAAAATTGTGTTGCTCATTGTTTTCAAAACAAACAAGGCAAGGAAATGAAAACAAATGGAAAATGAGGGAAACAAAGCGGCGGGAAAAACCAAACAAATGGCAATTATTAATATTGAATATGTGTAGCACATAAGCATAGCTCCTAGAGTCGCTCCTCCTCATTGTGTCCTCTGTGTGTGTCAGTGTAAATGCATTACCCTATAAGCTATAAGTGGCAAATGGAATTTATACATATACAAAACTATATACATATATGTTATGTTGCATGATGTAAACTCAATTGATTGCCACGCATATTAGGCTAAGCCGCAAACTGTCAGCTGGCAGCCATCTAGATTTATATAAGCTATATATAAAAACAAAAATAAATGTACGATACTGTAACTTACCATTATACAAAAACTACGCAAGGAGATTAAAAAGCGACAAGCTAAGAAAATAACTCTCTCTCTCGGTGATGACTTTGTCTTATTTAAATTTCAGTTGGAGCGGGGGATTTGCGGTTTTTCCTCGGGGGGAAAAGCTCATTTTATGGGTAGGGGGAGTTTCATGGGGTTTTCCATGGGGTTTTTCTGGGCATGAGCTGCCACACTTGACGGCTGATGGCCAGCCAAGCAAGAAGACAAAGTGCAGTGCCAGTTCAGCAAACACAACTGGCAAAAAGTTTACACTTTACATTTTTGGATCAGGATCAGCAGGCACGCCCTCTGACCCCCTTTCTCCGTTGTACACTCTGAGAAATTTGGTAAGTATATATACAAAATAAACTAAAGCCCGGCATCAGTAACCATATGCTAAAGGACACCGAATGGTCTTATTTACTTCTCTCTTCTATTTCCTGATAGTTACAACTGAAGTTCCCGAATTTTCAAATCAAAATCACTCTTATTTGAAGTAAATTTCTTTCAGTGCACCTCCTCTCTGGGCAAAAAGGGATGCAGCCAAGATGGATAGACAGCTGCAAGGACTGCAGTCAGCAAAGTGCGAAGTGCAGGCCACGCATCTTAAACAACCTCGACTCGAGTCGGGCATGTGTGCATGATTTTCCCTTTTTCCTATACCCATTTTGTTTCGTTTTTAGTAGTTTTGAGGAAAACCCCCATCCGTTCCGGGGAAACAGACACATCCCCGGGTGCAAGTGTCCGCCGTAACAATGTGGGGACAAAACGTGTTACGTGTATTGACTCACTAATGAGAAAATGAACAAGAAAGCGAGGAAAGCAGGGTCAGAACTACGCAGCGCTCTAGCGCACTAATGACCACAGTTGAACCCAGTGGATGCGATACAAATGGAGATGGGGAATCGCAGATGGAGATACAGATACGCAGGGCTCAGATACGGATACAAAAGAATGAAAGGGCACCGCACCGCACCGCAGTGCAAAAGGGCACAAAGAAAAATGTGTAATGGGGAAAAACAGGAGGAAATTCATTTGGGAAACTAATGGAATCTAAAAAATATTAAATGATTAAATTAGTATTATTAGGCGATGTAACACCTCGCAATTCAATTCCAAATTCAATATTCAAATAAAAACAAAAGTGACTTTAATATAATATATGCTCCTGCCAACATGTCGTATGAGTAATTTCCGTGGAAAATGCAGCTAAGGCAATACAAATTTCCCCCAGTGCTGCCTGGGAGGATTCACATTTAGTTGCCAATCTGAGAGTGCCACACCTTCGATTGCCCGCAAAACTTTGTTGTGCCAAATGCAGTAAAAATGTAGTGTCTGTCTGTGCGGTGAAAAGGTAAAAGAGGTTACAAAACATCAAGGATCCTGGATGCTGATGTGTATACGCTTCTGTGGAACATCTGTAGTTGAAGCAGGAGCAGGAGCAGCTGTCCTTGCCCCGTAATCAGCCAAATAACGACTGCCGAAATGGTGGATAAGCGCGGAACTAATAAAAAGTGGAAACGTTGCAAGCTGCAAACACACACACACACACAATAAGCTGGCTCATCCTTCAGGGAGGTCCTTGCTCCTCTATGATCCCCTCCCTTTTTACACAGTTTTCCTACGTTTTTCCACCTCTATCCCTTTTCCCTTCCATCCCTTCGCCCCAACGCTTATCACTGGAAGTTGAAGCTGCGTCAAACCCTCGACGACATTTTATTTGCTCGCTGGTAATTTTGTTTCCGTTAGCTACTAGTGTATTTTTCCCCATTTTCCGCCATTTCCCTGGCTATCTACGGCCACCCCCTCTATCCCTGTATCTCGGCGTGGCAAGGATTCTTTTGTTGGGTTTGGTTAATGAACCGAAATGCGTGTTTGTCTCCCACGTTTTGGGGTTTTTGGTATTTCAGAACATTCGTAGAGGAGTTCCCGTCTCGTCCTTCGTCCTTCGTCCTTCCTTTCCTTTTTGCGTGGTGGCGAAATTGTGTTGCCCCAAATATGTATTGCAATCATTGTTTTGATGACTTTGTTGCTGGGCCAAAGTCAAATTCGCGTCTCGGGAGAATTTGGGGGAGAGTTTTATTCGGTTGTTCGGATTACTGCTCAAAGCTTATGTTCTGGAATCGGATTCTATTTATGGCCTTATTGTACTACACACACACAGCCCAACACACTCGGAATTACAAATCGTCTGGCTGGCTGGTATTTCCGCTTCGGCAACTCATAATGTGTTTAATTATACACAAAATACATGAAAAAAAAGATAAAGTTGTCTATCTTTTGGGTGTCTGAAATGTCAATAGATCGCTTTAGAAGTAATATTTTTGATAACAACTAAAAGAAATCCCATCAAACGTAATTCTATTTAAAAAATATATATAAAATCCATTAAAACCACTTCGTTTTAATCGCAATCCAAGAGGATTTTCACATTACAAATATTATAATTTGATTTCCCACGCTTCTATTGGATCTGCCATCCATTGGATACATTTTCCCCCCAAACATCAATCTAAAAACTATCACATAATACCAGCGGCAAATAAGCCAAGTGCAGTGGAATATTAATTCGCAGGGCCATCATAAAATCGATGTAAAACAAGGCGGGCAAATATGAACAACGCAATGAAATCAAAAGGCACTTATTCCCGGCAACGTTCCAGCCACCGAACCGCAATTTAAAAATGGCTAAAAA